TTTTTTTTTTTTTTTTTTTTTTTTTTTTTTGACACTGAAGAGTAGCAGACTATGCCACTTTGGTTAAGGATTATTTTGAGCTGAAGGCAACTGAGAAGCAGAGACAAGAAACATATGTAAAGGTGTCTCTTCTCCCTTCTCTACCAGGAAGGACAGATGTGAATCACTGGAGACAACTCTAGACCCCAGTCAGCTCAGAGACGGCACCAGGGGGACTTCATAAACATTACTAGCTAGCCCTTAGCTTCCTCCCTTTCCCTGCCCTAGGAACCCAAAGTCCTTTTCCTTTGTCTTGTCGCTTTACTAAAAAGCTACAGTTCTTTCATTCTGATGCTGTATCAACCCAAGGTCTAGCTACCCCTTTGAGTCCCTGATTACCGAGTATGGGCAGGTGTAGGGGAGACACGTGTTGACAACCTTCTGTTGTTCCCTTGTCTTTTGCAGAGCCCCAGCCAGACAACCTAGGACCACAGAGGAAAAATTGGTAAGTTTCAGTATTTCAGGGGAAGAGAAATACCTTCCTTGTGTATTACAATCTTCTTCTTCCCCTACTCACTTAGAATGCAAATTATTTCCTTCTTGGAGTTCATAAAAATGCCCAGTTGACCTTATTTCCTAGATTCTACAAACCTTATCAGTGGCATGATACTTCATAAATTTAATAACAGTGTGGGATCAAGCCTGATTTTAGGGTCTTAACACTGAAAGGAAGGATGATAAAACTGAAGTAAAGCAAGTTAATGATCTGCAGAGAAAATGGACTTCAAAGGAGCCAGTAGTGTGTGATTTTTTGAACTGAGTAGGATGTGTGTAGGTTTCTCTTGTATTCTTACTCTTAAACTTTATGTATATTATATATAAATATAGCTAACATATTTGTAAAGTATACATTGGATTGTAAATTTAGGTATATATGCATACATACCTACAAATGTGTTTCATATGTATACTTGGTAAAGACATCCATTTGTATTGGCTGATTTCTGGTTTGGATGGAGCATAGGCCAGTCCTCTCCCTTGAGATTACTTTTCTTTAGTCATTTTTCATCATTGTTTATGTAACTCATGGATTGGATTGCTTTTGAAATAGACTTTCTCCGACTTAATTTCATAATATTACTTCTCCAAGATCACATTTACTAGAAACCCTTCTTTATAATTGTGTAAAAGGAAAAATCTCCCTGGATAGGAGCACTTGCCTAGGAAATATCAAGATGAAAACTGTTTGTTGAAAATTATTCTAACCCTCCAGCCTTGTTAAAGAGTCGTAAACTTTGAGTGACCCCACATAGGCGAGGCTGGCATTGGACCTGAGTGAAGACTCTTTCCTGACCAAGGAGCATGAGGATTTGCATTAACTAATCCTGAACAGACCAGTGGAGACCTCCTGCCTGTCCAGAGGGATATTTCTCGAGCCTTAATGGGCTCATCTGCCATGAAATCCCCTTCCTGACTTCCACCCATCTAACACACCTCAGTGGGATTCTTCACAGGTATGTTCTTAAAAGTGGCAAATAAATACAACCAGCTTTAAAAATTTCGTCCTGCCCTGGGTTGATTTTGCAGTACTTTTGAAACCTAGAATCAGGCTATTAATTGAATTTAGGGTAAATAGGTCTGAAAATATACTTACAAGAATGAAGCTGAAGTTCTCTGTAGTCACGGTTTGATCTAGCATTAACTCTGTCAATTAAAAAAATGTCATCAGTGGCTTTTTTTCATCATTTCTTAGAACAGTTGTCCCAGCTCAGATCATTTTAGCAGAACAAAGTCAGAAACTGAATTTTTTACCCTTCTTTTCCCTCCTTTGATTTTCCGTGCTCATGGCTAGCACAGCAGTGGCTTGCAGATGAGGTTTGTGTTTGTTTGTTGTTATAGTTGGAGCTTTTAAAAAAATTCCTTGCCAAAACCTTTGTTTTATCCTCTGCTGCAGAGAGTACATATCATGAATGTATCCAACTGAGCTCAATTATATCAAACAAAACAAACAGAACTTGCGAAGTGCTGCTCTCTGCGCCTGCTTCCCCAAGAAAGGCAATAAATTGGAGTGGTCTTTTCATGGACACCACGTGGCTGTCGTGGGGGCCGTGATACCACATGGGAAGGCAAGGACCGAAGTTACATGGTCCTAACAAATGGGTAATCCGTCCCCAACCTGAATTGGGTGAACACTACACCCATCGGTGTTTCCGTCTCGTTTAATGCCCGTAAGAATGAATTCACTTGAATTCAGTGGCCGTAGGCTCAGAACATTTGCAGTGTGTTTGTGCTGGGCTCTAAGACTGATCAGTTCAGCTTTTTAATGCACTTGCTATTAAAGGACATTAACCCAAGGATACAGAAAGTAGAGGAAGATGCTCAGAATTGCATCACAAATTAAATTATTTTCAAATTTCTTTCCACTCCGAGCTCACATGCTAATTTTATACAGCCATCATCAATGCTTTTATATGGTTATGTTAACCATGTATTTGGTAATGATATTTAGTGGGTACATAATGTTACATCAGGTCGATTAAGCAGTTTTCTTAAACATTCTGTTATTCCTGGTCGTGCAAAGTGAAGCTGTTTTTACTGAAACAAATGACTAAAATTAACCTGTTGTTTAATAGCAGTGCAAATGGATTTTTCTCCATTGCCATTTATTTTAGAACAAATTTCATATAGTGGTCAAACGCTATGTACTTTTCTGATGACTCCTTATGAATTTTCAAATACAGATATTTTTCTCAATGATGTGAGGATCATTTATAAACATCACATCTCTTTTTCCATAAATGAAGTCAGTGGCTATTTCCTAAATATGGCTGTTTTCTTATGCAGTCACAATATATATATGAAAATCAGGATGCCTAACACCGATACACTACTCTCATATATACCACAGGTCATGTTAAGATGTTACCAACCGTCCTAATAATGTCCTTCATAATAATATTTTCCTGGACCAAGTCAAGTCCAGAATCACATTCAGTTGTTGAGTACCTTGATTCGCCTTTCTTATGAAACCGTTTTCAGCCTTTCTTTGGCCTTTCGTGACCTTAAGATTCTTGAAGGACACGGGCCATTTATTTTGCAGAATGGCCTTCAACTTGCATTTGCCTGATGTTTCCTTGTGACTAGATCCAGATCACGCATTCTTAGTAGGAACACCACAGACTTGGTGTTGTGTCTTCCCAGAGCATTATTTGAGAAGACACAGGCTATCAGCTTGTCCATTTGCTGGTGATACTAAGTTGATCATATCATTAGATGGTGTCAACCAGTTTTCTTCCCTATAAAATTACTATTGTTTCTTTTGTGATTAACAAGTAACTGGAGAGAGATGCTTTGAGATTATGTAAATATTCTGTTCATTAAAATTTTATCCATTTTATCCATCTCTTAATAATACTTGCCTGCATCAGTCATGACTGATGGTGGCTTAGTTTTCTGCTCTACATGACCGTTTTCTCTTTCCCAACATTCATTTATTTACATCAGTCTAGACTCATATTTGCTTCTTTAATTCAGTTTTTATGCTCAGATTGTTCCAGATTGTGCCTGCAGGGAACCCCTCCAGACTGTCTCCTGACATGTCCCCATATTAAACACTGATTTACTTTTTGGCACAAGATGTTCTAGGCTTATCTTGAAGTTTCTCTACTTCTCCAAGAATCCTCTATTCCTGTAGTGGGTACTGACATATAGAAATGAAGGTCTGGGGCACCTGGGTGGCTCAGTCAATTAAGTGTCTGACTCTTGATTTCGGCTCAGGTCATGATCTCATGGTTGATGAGTTCAAGCCCTACATTGGGCACTGCACTGACAGTGTGGAGCTTACCTGGGATTCTCTCTCTCTCTCTATCCCACCCCTAAATCCTGCTCACATACTCTCTCAAAAAAAAAAAAATTCAAGGTCTGCATGCTTGGACAGAATAGTGAAAATTTGTGGCATCTGACCCACTCCCTCCCACATGCCCCTAGCTCATTATGGCAAAAGCACTACTCTGTGTGGGGCAACTAGAAATACAGGCTTCCCTCTTCCTGTAGCTCACAGGCTAGGACTCTAGTTCTTTGCCAAAGGAGTAAATCAGTAGCATTTCTAATTTCCTTTAGCTCCTGATGGCAGAAGCAATTTCCCCAGAAGGCATAGCCGAAAGCACCAGGCTCCCTTTTCCCCCGCATAGGATGGGAGCTCCACTCCGGGTTGTAGCAAGCCAAGAATGGCCCGAATTATCTTTGCCTCAGCTTTGTTCTTGAAGTGTAAGTTTCATGCTGGAAGGAGAAGCCAAGCCAACTATGTAACACTAGTCACCCAGCACGTGCTTTTAGAGCAAGATGTCACCACCACAGAAGAAGGGGGCCACTGTCCTTATCCCCAGCTCCTGTACAATGTCCTAGAAGTTCTTACAGAAGCTCCCGTAGGATGCCCCAGAAGGGCAGGCTCTGTAGAAGAGGGACTCTTCTGTTCTACGAGGGGACTTTGGGAAAGAATATGGAGGTGTCCATACTCAAAGACATTGACAAAACAACAGAGATCTTAGTGGAGTGTTTAAGAGGGAGCCCATAGCTCCATGATAATGGTAGCCAACAGCACAGTGGTAGGCCAGTTAGAAGTTGAGCACAATCAAGGAAAGACATAGCCATTAAGAAGCATTCTGGTTTCACATCCAACTTTGAGGGTTGAGAAGTCTCTGCACAGGTGCTAGGCTGAACCCATTCAGGAGAAACTAGAACTCTGTGTGACACAGATGTAAAAATGGTCCCCAAGTCACACATCCGTCAACAAAGGGCAGAAGCCTCACTGTCACTAGAGGATCAAGCACAGGCTCTAACCAAACATTGGGTGATCCATAAGCAACTCAGAAACTGGGCTCCTTAGAAAACTGGGCTCAAAAATACAATCACAACCATACCTGGCGCTCTGGAATAGTGCATGCATGCCCAGGACTGTGCCCTTCCAGAAGTGATTGGGAAGGGATTTCCAAACTCCTAATCCCTGACTGAACATGGGGCAAAGATCTAAACTTGAACTGTAGTAGGGGCCTCTAAGCCAGATGCACAGAAAATGGTAAAGGCTAAAATCTGGTTGGCCAAAAGGGCTTAAGCACAGATGTTGAACAAAATGTGGCTTCTGCTGACCCAGGGGTAATGTGCAGGCAGAATTTGACAAAATCCAGTACTTTTCAGGCTAAAATATAATTTAAAAGTCTGAGCACAGCTATTAGACATCAAAGATGTTAAAAGGACAAAAGTCATGTTTAAAGAATTAAAGGAAGATATGACAATGTCTCAAGAAGACAGAACTTATTAAAGAGAAATAAATGGAAAGTCTGGAGTTGAAAAGTATAACACAACAACTCACTAAAGGAGGGGCACTGGGGTGGCTCAGTGGGTTAAATGTCTGACTCTTGATTTCATCTCAGGTCATGATCTTGTGGTTCATGGGATTGAGCCCTGCATTAAGCTTGGACAGCCGACAGCACAGAGCCTGCTTGAGATAATCTCTCTCCCTCTCTGCCCCTACCCCACTCGCTCTCTTTCAGAATAAACAAACTTACAAAGTCTCACTAGAGGAGGGGCACTTAGTTAAGTGTCCAACTTCGGCTCAGATCATGAACTCACAGTTTGTGAGTTTGAGCCCTACATTGGGCTCTGTGCTGACAGGTCAGAGCCTGAAGCCTGCTTTGGATTCTGGGTCTCCCTCTCTTTCTCTCTCTGCCCCTCCTCTGCCCATTCTCTATCAAAAACAAACATTTTTTAAAAAATTTAAAAAAACCACAACTCACTAGAGGAAAGATAATTTCAAGAAAATGAGAAGCCCAATGCAGGGAGAAAATGTTTGCAAAAGACACATCTGATAAAGGACTGTTATCTGAAATATACAAAGAACTTTTACAACTCAACAATAAGAAAACAACCTGATTAAAAAATAGGACAAAGACAGCAGCAGACATTTCACCAAAGATATGCAGATGTCAAGTCAACATATGAAAAGATGTTCCTCATCACATGTTCCCACATCCCAGGGAAAGGCCAAAAACCTATCAGAATGCGCCAAATACACAACACCGACAACACCAAATGCTGATGAGGATGTGGAGCAACAGGAACTCTTGTTCACTGCTGACGAGCATGAAAAATGGTGTAGACAGTTTGGGAGAGAGTTGGGCAACTTCTTACAAGACTAAACATATTCTTAGAGTATGTTCCAGCAATCCTGCTCCTCGCTGTTTCCTCAAAGGAGTTGAAGACTCTGTCCACACAAGAAGCTGCACACGGATGTTGAAAGCAACACTCTCCATAACCACCAAGATGCCCTTCAGTGGGTGTGGATAAACTGGAGTCCAGCCAGACAATGGAATATTGTTCAGTGCTAAAAAGAAATGCACTATCAAGTCATTGAAAGATAGGGAAGAACCTAAGGGCATACTACTAAGTGAAAGAGATCAATCTACAAAGGCTGTGTACTGGACGATTTCAACTATATGACATTCTAGACAAGACACACCTCTGGAGGCATTAAAAAGATCAGTGGTTTCCAGGATTTGGGGGAAGCAGGGATGAACACACCGAGCATAGAGGAGTTTTGGGTCAGTGAAAATATTCTAAATGACATTATAACAATGGATACATGTCACTGTACATTTTTCCAAATCCAGAGAGTGTACAACACCAAGAGGGAACTCTAACTTCAACTA